CGTGAACGGTCTCTATGATTATAGAAGGAAAAATAATTAGTATAGATCCCGTCACCTTTTCAAACTGCAGCCATTATTTGAATTACCCCCACCCCTTTCTGATTTCAACGATTATTTCGTCGCTATTCATACTATAATTTGATTAACATTATTAAATAAATATAGATCATTAAATAAAAATGTAATGTTCAATTTGTGAATAACTTAGGTTTATACGAGTTATTAGACGACGAATCAAATTGTATTGTGTATCGTCTTTGCTGCGTCCCCCTTACTATGTCGCTGTTAATAGGTTTATTCACCATGTTTTCATATTTTGCGGATTTTCTTTTGATAACAATTCAAACTTATAAGGTTGGACATCCAACCTCATATCGACAAAAGCAGAGATTCGGCAGTTTGGTCGTCCATAACGCAGAAGAAACCAGTTTGTATCGCGTATATTTTAGTAAGATTAACGTGAACAGCTGATCATCCATTGTCGCATTGGACGTCACACGGTCACGTGATCGCTATCTAATTTAACTTGGATTTTTACTTCGGGGCTTTTTATTTGACTCAATAAATGTATATTTATGGCGGTATTTCCACAATGAAAACACAAAATGTATAAACTATGATCATGAGGACCGAAATACGCTTTTAATTCCAAGTAATTGAGAAACATGCAACAAGATCTTTAATATAGATATAAATGACGACCTTTAAGCAATCATTTTAAAGATCCTTAATACAGAAAGCCTAAATCTTTCAATTAGCAGCAGAACTTCATTTCTATTCTGTTGAAGATTATGTCAGACGTTGAGTGAAAATGCAGGAGAAGACCTGAACACCTTGTCAGAATGGATTAAGTGTTTTAGAAATATATTAAAGAGTCGTGTTTGTTAAATGGCAATATGCGAAACATCTACAAGGGGTGATCAAAAAGTTCGCGAACTAATTGAATTACTACCTTAAAAGAAATAAAATAAGGTTTCAGTGTTAATTATTTTTTTAAAGTAGTCCTGTCCGATTTTAATGCACATCTGTCATTGTTCTGTCCAATCACGAATCACGTGATCCAGGCAGTCACGTGACATGCTTCGTGGCGGTCTGTTCACAGAAGCTAAGAGATTTTTCTGAGTCTTATATTTCTTACCATGCAAGTATTTTTTTTTTATAACAAGAACAGACCATCTGTCAGAAATGGCCAAATCTCCGCAATAGGATGGGTGGATAAGAATATCCCTTCCCAAAATGAGCATGGTGACCATCACAACCCCCGTCCTCTGTCTTGGGAGCATCGTTTATCCAATGTGGAAAAAGTATGGGCGCCTTCTTTTTTCATAATATTTCATATGTTTAAAGTCTAAAGTAAACGATATTTTAGGGATTTATTAATTATATTATTGCTCAGATATTCAACTATTTTTTCTTACTGTAACTTGGTGATCTTTCAAAACAAATACATCAACTAAGGAGACATCTTTTTACCGGCTTGCTTTCGCTGGGCAATAGAACAAACATAATTTTTAACCATCTCCCTGCCTTCACTAAAACAATCAATCCAATTAATGATTGAACATCTGGTAAGTCTTTTGTCTTCATAAACCTTGTACAAATTATTATATTCTACTGCAAAGGAATTTCCGAGATATACGTTAAACTTTACAGTCGTTCGTTGCTCGAGTACGACTGAGTCAACCATTTTTTTGGTCACAAGGTGACCTACATACTGACGTCATTTTCATATTGTGACGTCACAAACACGGAGCAAAACATTATTTAACATCTGCTATTTATAGAACATGTGTTTGACTATATGTGTGCCAAATGGCATTCTGATCTGAATGGCGTTTTTTTTTAAATATAGAGATAGTTCGCGAACTTTTTGATCACCCCTCGTATCCTTCCGTTTTCACTAAAAAAGAGGTGATAAAAAAAATTAAACAGAGTACATGAAAAATATGTCATGTTCCAGCAGTCTAGGCTTGTAACAATATCGTCTATTCTTGTAAAGCTCATTATTATAACTGAATTTTAGAAGTTGGTTTTAGTTCTACATCTGAAAATCCTATTTATACTCACAGTTCATTTGAAAGGATAAAATTCTTGAAAATCGTATTCCAGTCTTTAATACTTTTAACATTTCAGTCAACGAAGGTGAGTCCGATCTACCCTACCTATACTAGATTCCTAAACTTCATAAAATCCTTACAAACTAAGATACATTGCCGGGTCCAGCAAGTGATCTACCAAGCCCCTTTCTTTACTCCTCACAAAAATATTATCTACTGTAAAGGAGAAGCTTCAGACATACTGTGCTACAACATATTCTAGAAGTGGTATAAATCAGATTCTTAAAAATACAAGGAACGTTTAGAAAATTTAAAATCATATTTTTTTAAAAGTCAGTATCATCAAAACATATGACTTTTACACATTTTATACCACCATTCCTCATAATAAATTAAAAACTAGGTTTTTGCTATCATTCTATGAAAATATAATCTTCTATAAAAATGGAACTTTAATGGAAAAATGGAAATTTAGGTATATTGTGATTGGTCATCAACAACATTATTTTGTATAAATCATACTGATTATACACATAAGTACTCTGAAGTTGATATTAAAAGGATGCTGTTTCCCATATACGTGCAAAACTAGCTAAGATAAATGTCTCCTTCTACATTAATGTAATTATTCTTGCTGGAGGAAATGATGTCGGAAACAACCCTGATATGGAGGCTATTGAAAATGATCTTGTGGAAATTATCACTGATATGAAGTCTCAGAATTCTAGTCTCCAAGTGTTTATTTGTACATTACTGGCAAGTTAGTTGTAAAAAAAAAATTACGCATATGAAAAATTCAATGCCCCTTACAAAAGTATACAAATAATTTTCTTGGGTGTCCTCAAAACAATCGTTTTAGTTTTACAGATATATCGAACAAACTTATCTCGGATATCGCTGAGAAGGAAAGATTTTGATTGTGAGAAATTATTGCAGTTTACACTAAACCAAACTTGAACATGATGAGAAATTTTGTAGTCCCTTTACCCATGAAAACGAAGTGTTATTATTATTGAACAAACTTAATGTAAATAAGTCGACTGGTATTGATACATGTACTATTGGTCCATGTCTTCTAAAACACACTGCGCCAGTCATATACAAATAAATCACTCATTTAATAAATATTAATTTCTCTACGGGAATATTTCCAATGAACTAAAACTTGCAAAACTAACACCTATATAAAAGAGGAGACAGACTGGACCCTGATAATTATAGACCAATATCCACCCTCCCCACTTTGTTAAAAATCATTGTAAAACATGTCGCAAATATATTCGTAACTTTGTGTCAGATTTTGATCTCTTATGCCAAACTGGTCTCACTAAACTTACTGATGAATGGTTACAAGCAATGGATAATGGTAAACTTGTTGACATAACCTTTCTTGATTCTAGTAAGGCCTTTGATCTAGTTAATCTTGATATTCTGATCAAAAAATTACATTGCTGCAATTTTGACCCCAAAATAGTACAATGGTTTAACTCATATTTTAACAGTAGATTTCAGAGTGTCTACCTTGGTAACATAAAATCTGGGAAAAAAAGTTAGTCACAGTGGGAGTACCACAGGGATGAATTTTAAGTCCACTTCTCTATTTTTTATATTAATGATTTCCCATTATTTGTCGATACTTGACTTTTGCCGATGAGACTACTTTGCACATTTCAGACAGTAATGTTTCTTCAAGGGAAAGTATGATATCCTCTGACGTAAATAATATAGAAACATGGTACTCCCAGAATCAGCTGATTTTGAACACTAGTAAAACTAAGTGTGTGTTTTTTTTAGGTTTTAAGGCATACACCAACGACGGTCAAAGCTGACCAGCCAAAATCTCTATTTACAAGTTTCAGATCATTGTCTGGAGAGTGTCACACATGCAAAAATCTTTGGAATCCATATTTATAATTCTCTCAATTTCAATATACATATCGATGCCATTTGTAAATTATTTTCTGAAATATATCTGAAGTACGTAGAATTATGAAATATATACCATTAAATACGATAAAATTTATTTTACAATCAATCAAGAGATAAAAAATGTTGGTTCCCAAAGATTGATCTTATCACAAGGAATACAGCTGTGAAATACGAAAGCCCTTGCAGCAACTATTCAGGAATTATGGTCAAGGTCTTGTCACAAGGAATACACAGATGAAAGACCTGGCACCAACCGTTCAAAAGTAATGTCCAAGGTTAAAGTTTGTTAAAATATTGCAAGAGTGGGTCTAACTTTAAGGTCAATAGGTCAAATATGTTGGTACCCAAACACAGGTCTTGTCAAAGGAATGCACAAGTGAAATATGAAAGCCCTAGCTCCTACCAATCAAAGGTTATGCGTAAGGTTAAATTCTGTGTGGACAAAAAGGCAGACAGACGGACAGAGCAAAAACTATATGCCCCCGAATTTTCGATTACGGGGACATTAAAATATTAACGAAGTATGATTTCATATTCATAAACAAAGTAAAGTAAAATAAGATATAGATTTAAAGTTATACATGTAATTAAACACACTACATGTAAATATTACTATTTCGTTTATTCTTTAAATTTATATCAATTCAAGAGTTGTTGCTTTACATGTCTAAGCAATGACCATTGTTGATGGTGAATAAATGGTCTGTTCAGAAGTTAAGCATGATTGATTTTGGGTATAATAAAACAATTATTGTATGGGACTTCAAGCAATGGTCATTTTGACAGTCCTAGGTACGAAGACGACAATTTCTAACATTGGAGCTGACAAATTGCTTTTGCCTTCGTACCCTTCTAATAAATTAATACTATATAATATTCCATTCTTAATTTTTCCACAAGTTCCATTAAGATTTAAAACGTTTTGTCTGTTCTTAGTTCGATTAATCATTACTATGCCAACTTAGCCTTTTTTCTTGTTAGATTATGTTACAAAGTAGAAAAAAAATCACTTACCATCCCAGGCTTTGTGCTTGGTTTGTTTGACAATTTAATTTTTTCAAAGGAAATCTTTCGAGTCATCCACTCCGATCCAATCCGAGGAGAGTCCGGATGTTTGAAGGGATGATTCTTATAGTCTTCTTTTTTTCTCGCAATCGGAATCCATTTGTTGTTGAGAAACTTGAAGCTTTTGTTGCTGGCGGGGATGATGTCAAAAATGACGTCATATAATCCAAAAGGATCTAGGCCTCTTAAGTAAAATTCGACGTATGGAAACATCCTCCTGAAAATTCATAAGCATTTGGAAATTTATAACAAGGTAACAAACTAATATTCTTTTATCAAGAAAATCTCTTATTAAACAATATTGTTTCAATATCATACAATTATGGAAATCTGCGGTGTTGAATATGGTTTGCTATTCACCAGAAAAATAACAACATTGACCTAGACGAAGGTCAATATTGATATTTTTCTGGTGAAGAACAAACCATATTCACCACCGAAAGAGTCCACAATTATTTTATTATATAGAATGAATAAGACATTGCAGGCTTCACGACGACACGATTTTCATGAACGAACTTCTACGATTACGTTATAACTTCCGTCTTTTCCTTTCGTTGTGTATAAGACATGGAAATGTTTGGAAAAAAATCCGGCGACAGGCTTGTAAAACATTTTTCCTGCTCAGATACACAGTTCGCTCCAACCGTTGCTACCAATGTTTACATCGTTGTTTGAGGTGTTTTTTGTGACGTAACAATCGCCACTGCACGCCCACTAACCCTCCGGTGAATACGGCTTCCAATGAATATTCAAGGAATAACTGTCTAGTTTTTTTTTTGTTTAATGACGTGATCCATCAGTTTGCTCGAGTGATAATGCTAGCAAACTGATTGCTCATCATCATGAATAAGAATCCCAGACAGTTTTTCCTTATATCTACATTTTTACCCGATACATGATTCAATAAAAAGTATTTTTATTAAATAATAATTTAATTCTGATTGTAAAGCGCCATTTGATTGGATAATAAATTTACTTTATATCGTATAAATTGGGTTGCCTACGTCACAATGACTTTCGTCAAAAACGTATCGATGTGCCAGACGTTACATTTAAATTTTGTACAATATGAAGTCATTTTTAAGGGCGATCATTTCTTATACTAAATGAATGAAAATTAAATTATAAGGAATGAAATTAATAGCTACCCAATTTATACGGTATCAAGTGGGTTGGAACAGTTTACACTTTTTTATAAACCGCTTCGCGTCGCTTCGCGGTTTATAAAGCGTAAACTGCCCCAACTCACTTTATACCGCATAAATTGGGTAGCAATTAATTTCATTCCTTAAATAAGAAAACTTAGCAAGCCCCGCCCAGCGTATAACTAAGTAACACACAGAGAAAGCATGCAGTTCTGTGACGTGCTGAACAAATCGCTTTATGCGGTTATAAAGCTATTACCTTATTTGTAGTTTTATCTCGGTGAAAGGCATTTGGAAAAGTAAATATGCAGTGTTATGAACCGTTTGCTTTTGTATAGATTATATAGGGACTACAAATAGACTATATGATAATTGTTTTAATTGCTTTAATACACTGATGTTGTCAGTGATCGGCGTTTGCCCTGTATCTGGTGTCCTATTGTGTATAGATTTTTTGAGATTGACCACACTTCGTAATCGTCGCCTTTTCCATCTTCTTATTATTTCATACAATGGGAAAAATGAAATACAAGAAAATCTTGTACCAAGGGGAAGTAGGTTTTATGGGTACGAGATGAAATTATGGTGTTTTACTCCAGTCATTAGACATTATTCATTGGGAAAAAATACAGCAACTTATCACACCAATATAGTACAAACCAATATTTGATCATTTAGCATCTTAATATACGAAGGTTGTTCGGAAATTATTGAGGCATTGTGTTTATTCTCCTATATAATGAACGTCTTTTGGCGAAAAATTGCATATACTTTTAATCAACAAACACTAATAATAAATAAAGCAAGTAATATTTAAAAAATAATTTGTTTTTTTTTCTTTTCTATGGTATATTAATGAGTCAATGGTAGGGTTACCCGGCAGTCACGAAATCAGACCATGAAAATCAGTAACTACTACATGTACAAGTGTTTACTAAGTTCTGATGGACCCGTAGTAAGTGGAAATATTATTTAAATTATGTATGTAATTTTTAAATTTTATTTTGACTTTATTTATGCAAGATAGAATTTAGAAAAGAAATACGAAGATCATAAATAATTTTCATGACGGTATAGAAATCTTGTAGCGACGGCAAAATGAATTTGACATCAAGGCGGAGCAGCAAGCATACTTAAATATTTTTTTGTAGCGCTGAGGAGAACTCCTGTCCAGACTGAACGACCCGCGAAAACAATAACAATAACAATGCGAAGAAACATGTGTAGGAGATTGTTTTTTCATTGGTATTTTTCCCTCAAAAATTATTCGACCAGAGTAGAACAACCATCAAATATTACGAACTAAATAACGTTGACCTGAGGTGCAAACGTCGGTTCTGCATGATGCTAGTCAAACTGTATAAACGATTTTATGCAATTTTATATTGGGGTACCACACATTTTATTTTTTAAAGAATCTTTTAAGAAAAGAGAGAACTTGATTTCTAGAATGTTGTATAAGTGATGACAGAAAAGAAGAGTGAACGCTGTTTGATCGTTTCAACATGAGAGAAAAATCTACGGCTGACGTTACGTTAAAATGACGTAGCTGTGCTACTCCAGGCCAAGGGGCATATGCAAATTTATAATATCATCGGAACTTATTTAATGATCCTATAAACTAGAAATTTGCACATTTGTTTTATTTTTTCTTGATGATGTGTTGACGAATTTTCATAAATTTATCTCTTTCCTTTATGGAGTAAATGTCTCAATAAATTCCTAACAGCCCTGGTACATGTAATTAAGTATTGAAAAATACACTTTAAAAGATGATTTTTTTTTTTAATTAGCTCTACTGGTCAGAGACCAGAAGAGCTTATGCGATAGTAAGGTGTCCGGCGTCCGTCCGTCCGTCTGTCCGTCTGTATAACTGTCCGTCTGTCTGTCTGTCCGTCTGTCTGTAAACAACTTTTCAAAATGCTACTCCTCCTACAGTTTTGGTCTGATTTCAATATAAATTGTCACACAAGTAAACTACACTAAGATACATAATCTAGTGCATCAGTTTCTGATTTCGATGAGCGGTGTTGCCATGGTTACTAAAAATTGAAATTTCTGTGAAATTCCTTTAAAACCCTACTCCTCCTACAGTTTTGGTCTGATTTCAATATAACTTGGCACACAAGTAGACTATACTAAGATACATAATCTAGTGCATCGGTTTTTGATTTGGATGAGCGGTGTTGCCATGGTTACTAAAAATTGAAATTTCTGTGAAATTCCTTTAAAACCCTACTCCTCCTACAGTATTGGTCTGATTTCAATATAACTTGTCACATAAGTAGTTTATACTAAGATACATAATCTAGTGCATCGGTTTTTTGATTTGGATGAGCGGTGTTGCCATGGTTACTAAAAATAGAAATTTCTTTGAGATTCCTTTAAAATTCTACTCCTCCCATAGTTTTGGTCTGATTTCAATATGACTGTGTCTGATTTCAATATGATTTGGCATACAAGTAGACTCTATTAAAATACATCATTTAGTGCATCGGATTTTGATTTGGATGAACTATGTTGCCACGGTTACTAAATATAGAAATTTCTTTGAAATTCCTTCAAAACGAAACTCCTCGTACAGTTTTGGTCTGATTTCAATATAACTTGTCACACAAGTAGACTACACTAAGATACATAATTCAGAGCTTTTTGATTTCGATGAACGATGTTGCCATGGTTACTAAAAATAGAAATTTCTGTGAATTTCATTTAAAACGCTACTCCTCCTACAGTTTTTATTTGATCTCAATTTTTGAAACGCTACACCTCCTACAGTATTTATTTGATTTCAATTGAACTTGGCACACAACTAGACTATATTAAGATACATAATTCTATTTATTGCTGCATGTTGCAAAGTTTCAAGTCCAAGTGCTACTTTTTCTTTGTTGCATGTATATGTACAGACCAGTAGAGCTACAGTCTCATCAGAGACTTCTGGTTATCGGCTGCCATGAGGCGAGCATGTGAAAAACAGCGAGCGCTCTTTCTTTAATAGATATACCAACAAACACATAAACCCATGATTTTATATGATTGTTTTATAAGAATTATAATTTGTATTGTTTAATTGCATTTTTGAACATGATGCACATCTAGAAGTAATGGTCTATCATATTTATTCTATTCCAGTTCATATCTTTAGCCGTTTTGGATGATTCGTGCAGACATATTTTCATTTAAAAAGGAAATTGTCCATTGGAACCGGAATTGAATCTCTTCCTAAACTTCTTTCAAATGTAACAACTTCATTTTATAGCGCATTATCCTTGTAAGTTTGATCAACTTTAAATCACTGAACAGTTTTCGAGATATCGCGTACACAAAAATTTGTCTTAAAAATAATACCTAGTTTCGATCTCCTTGCGAGCAACGAGTGGGTCTTTCATCCAATTTTTGATAAGATGAAATACATTGGTGATTTTTTAAAAATATTCTGAACACTTTTATTCTACATTGCTCTTTTAAATGTATCCAGTTTTGAGACAGAAAGGATAAGCAATTTATCAACCTGGGCCTTTAAAACACTTAATTATATTACATATAATCAGAGTATTGCAATAAATAATTGAAAATCAAGATAATCAGTTTTGCTTCAGTAATGTATAACAAAATATTTATTGATAAAAAGTTAAAGATTGAAAACATTTGGCCCCTCTTTCTTCGTGAGGCCAGTCCCTTTTCTTGATATCAAACAAACGTTCAACTAATTTTGAACACTTTCTGTTCCTCACGTATTCAAAAAATTATTATCTTTTCCAAAATATATAGTTTAGAAATATTTAGGGGCCAGCCCTTCAAGTCATGAATGGTGTCGTTTTGCAAAACTAAAAGGTTGCATACAATTAAGAACATTGTTCTGAACATTTGTTCAATATTGCTTATCAAAATATTTCTCATTTTTAGAGATAACCCCCCCCCCCCCCAAAGATTTAGCAGTTTTGCCCCTTACTGCGCCTAATTTCGTAAAATATGATCTAAATTTTAATAAACATACGTTTTATTAATGAAAATTTTTGCTTCAATAATGTACAGCAAAATATTGATCGTTCATAAGGGATAGATT